CTTAAGTCTGTCCCAGTCGAATTTCAAAACCATCTCAGGAACAGGTTTGAGGCCTTGAGCACCAATGAGCGTAGACCAAATGAGCTCTGGGAGGATATCAAGAAAATCATCCATGAAGAATGTAAAAGATCATTACAAAGGCTAAAGAAGAAAAAAAGACCAAGATGGATGTCAGATGAGACTCTGAGTATTGCATTAGAGTGCAGAGAAGCCAAAGCTAAAGGACAAAATCAAGAAATCAAAGAGCTGAATAGAAAATTTCAAAAGGCAGCTCTGGACGACAAAGCAAGATACTATAATGAAACGTGCAGAGAGCTGGAGTCAGAAAATCAAAAGGGCTGGACTCGCTCAGCGTTTCTTAAGCTGAAGGAGTTGAAAAAGAAATTCAAGCCACAGGTGGCAATACTTAAGGATAGTTTGGGTAGAATGTTGAATGATCCAGGATGTATAAAAAGAAGATGGAAGGAGTACACAGAGTCACTGTATCAGAAGGAATTGGCTGACACAGAGGAATTTCATGAAATAACATATGAGCAAGAACCTATGGTGATGAAGGAGGAAGTTCAAGTTGCTATGAAGGAATTGGCAAAAAACAAGGCTCCAGGAGTTGATGGCATACCAACTGATTTATTTCAACAAACAGACGCTGCCCTGGATGTGCTCACTAGGTTGTACCAGGATATCTGGAGGGCAGCCAGCTGGCCAACTGACTGGGAGAGATCAATATTTGTTCCCATTCCAAAGAAAGGTGACCCAACAGAGTGTGGAAATTATCGAACAATATCATTGATATCACATGCAAGCAAGATTCTGCTGAAAATTATCCAAAAACGTTTGGAACAATATGTCAACAGAGAACTTCCAGATGTGCAGGCTGGATTTAGAAGAGGTCGCGGTGCTAGGGATATTATAGCTAATGTAAGATGGATCTTGGCAGAAAGCAAAGAATACCAGAAAAATGTCTATCTGTGCTTCATTGACTATGCAAAGGCGTTTGACTGTGTAGATCACAACAAGCTGTGGCTGACTCTGAGAAGAATGGGAATCCCAGAACATTTGATTGTGCTAATGCGAAATCTATACTTGGACCAAGAGGCAGTCATCAGAACAGAGCAGGGAGACACTGGATGGTTTAAAATCAAGAAAGGGATGTATTTGGTCTCCATACCTTTTCAATCTGTATGCAGAACAGATCATCCGAGACGCTTGGCTGTACGAGAAGGATTGTGGCATCAGGATTGGTGGAAGAATCGTCAACAACCTGCGTTATGCAGATGGCACAACCCTGCTTGCTGAAACTGAGAAGGACCTGATGCGCTTGCTGCAGAGGGTCAAGGACTGCACTCTTCAATATGGATTGAAGCTCAATATCAAGAAAACAAAGATTCTCACCACTGGGCCAATTGGCAGCATCAGTATGGATGGTGAAGAGATTGAGATAGTTAACGCTTTCAGTTTGCTTGGCTCCACAGTCAACACTCTTGGTAACAGCAGCCAGGAAATCAAGAGACGAATTGCATTCGGAAAGTCAGCTGTGAGGAACCTCTCAAGAGTACTGAAGCGCAATGACATCAGGCTGGAGACTAAGGTGCACCTGATCCAGGCTATAGTCTTTGCAATTACATGCTATGCATCAGAGAGTTGGACAGTGAATAGGGATGATAGAAAGAGAATTGATGACTTTGAGTTGTAGTGCTGGAAAAGTGTTGAATATACCATGGACTGCTAGGAGAACAAACAGATTTGTCCTGGAGAGGGTGAAGCCAGAATATTCCCTGGAGTCAAGGATTCTGACATTTTATCTGACATACTTTGGGCAAGTTGCAAGGAGGGACTGGTCCTTGGAGAGGGACATCATGTTTGTGAGAGTGGAGGGACGGTGCAGGAGAGGAAGACCCTTGATGAGATGGATCGGTTCTGTGAGTGGAGTAGTGGGAATGAATGTGTTTGAAGACAGCGAGGTTGGCACAGGATAGAACGGCGTTTAGGACTCTTGTACATAGGGTACATAGGCTCTTGTACATGAGTCGCAAACGACTCGAAGGCACATAGCAACAACAATAACAAACCTCTTCTACTTTTTTGTACCTATTTTGATGTTTTGCTTTTTTGAACATCATGTCCATATTTATTTCTGCTTGGATATCTTAACCCTTTAAAGCTGTCTTAACATTACAGTCAATTCTATTATCTCTAGTACAGTGATACTTTATTTATTTTAAGAAAAAAACCACAATAAATACTATTTTTTAATCAATAAAGAAAAGTCTGTACTAGAACATATACACTAGGAAATTATAGGAAGTGATATTGTGAAGTGATAAGCTTATAAACAATGCCTTTGTCTTAATAGAAGAGCAGAAGAATGTTGTTTTTATTTGGGTAAGTGAGTCTGAATTTCTGTACAATTTATATTCTCCTGGAATACAAAGAATGAACTATTTTACACAATTTATGTGAAAATTTTCTTGTAATTTTGTATTTCAGGAATTTATTTCTTTCATTATCCTTGTTTGACTTTACATTCACATTTCATAAGCATAAATCTCTACATTTCAACATCTTGAGTATTGGAGTACAAACAAGCAAGTAATTGGTATAGGAATGCATAACAAAGTAGAAGTACAAAAGATAATAAATTACAGTACAGCTTCTCAAGAAAGCTTTTCACTTAAAATAATAGAAAGAATTGGAAGCAGGAGTGGCACTCACTTCCTAAACAACATGCCTCTGGAAACTGTATGAACTTTGATAAATTTTGATAGTTGTAGAGTGGCTTCATGCCTTTTGTTCATAGGGTCGCTGTGAGTCGTGCTCGACTTGAAGGCAATCAACAATAGAAAGAAATTCTTATAGCAGAAAAACTACAAATAAAACACAAATTGGTACTTTCAAATGTAATCTTATCAACTTAAAATACACATTTTGACATTACTTTTTCCAGGAAATTTCAATATTTTTTCCTAAGACTTTGTAAAGTTATTTCAAATAGGACATTTAGAAACACCCATAAGAGATATGCTGAGTATAATGGTGAAAGGCTTTGGATTGAAGCCAAGAACCACGCCAACGTCCAAACATTTCTCAGAGTTTATTGTGCTGCAGGGTACTCAGCCACGGGAGTAGCACTGGGAGTTGGGTTTAGAGGGGTTTATATGGGGTCATTACAGTGGCTCATTGGAGCATAAAGTTTCTGGTATTGGGAAACTCGTTCTGGGCAATGTCCTGACATAGGATTTCTGAAAAATGTCCCGACACAGGGTTTTCTATGTTCTGGTTTTGAGGGATGTCCTGACATAAGATTTTCTGAGTTCTTGTTTTGGAAAATATCCTGACATAAGATTTTTGAGTTGAGCTTCAACCTCCATTTTTATTTTTAGCCTAACAAGTAGTTGAGCTCAGCAAATTAGAAAGAGACATTCTGAACATTTTTGCTATAAACTTTGTGATAAATACCCTATTTGAAGATGAAGTGTATATATAGGTATATACTTTTGTAGTTAAGAAACGTTATTATGTATTATCAAGTCAAAATCAACTTATAGCTGACCCTCCAGTGAGTCTTTAGAGGCAATAAATTCCATGAGAGGAGAATGTTCCTTTTTCTCCTATAGAGCAGTTGATGTATTTAAACCACAAGCCTGAAGGTTAAGGCTAGCAGCTCAAGCTTTTACCACCAAACCACCAGAGCTCCTTCATTAAGAAATACATTCTCCAAACAATTTTGCTGATAAAGCAATTTTTCTCTTTAGAATGTCTGAAAGTGTGTCCAACCGAAGAAGATAAACTAAAAAAAAATTCTTTATTTTCCCCAAGTTAGCTGAATAGAAGACAAGAATAGGAAAAAAACCCACACTGATCTTTCAGTCCCTACATTTTTCTATCATCTTCTCATCTTTCAAAAATAGAGAACAGTTCTTATTTTCTTTTCTAGTAGCTGAATTGTTTTGGTTGTGATAAAGGAAGGTTTTCTTTCTTTGGATATCTTATGTGTTATTTGTTATTCCCTTAACACATGAGCTTAGAAAGAAGTAGCATCCAGATTTGCTTTCTACTCTGATTAACAATAAGAAGGACATTAGTTAGAGTTTTCCCTCTGTGTTTTATCTTAACAACATTCCATTTGCTTGTTTTGTATTTAAGTGTTGTAAGAAAATATGTTTCAGTCAAAATTGAACACAAGATAAAGAGTTGTGGCTCTTGTGATATTCTATCACAAACACTGTTATTCTAATTTTGTAAAATACAATCTATGTATGTAAGTGTTTTTGTCCTAATGTTGTTAATCCCATGGCAGGAAAAAAAAAATGGAAAGAAAAAACCTCACACCACCACCAAACTCACAAACCAACACACACACACACACACACTGTGAAAAACATTGGGTGTGTGTGTGTGTGTAAAAACTCCAGGTTCAAAACAGCTACTGTGTAGAAATCTCCCTCTCTAATTTGCTAAATGAAGAAATATTTTTTTTTAATTTAAGATAGTTTCAGAGACATTTGTTCCAGTATGGTGTGCTTAAATAATAAAAGAAAAGGGAAAAAAACCCTAAAAAACATTTTGAAGGAAAATGAAGGGTTTTTTATTGTTTAAAAGACTGTTTTTTTTAAAAAAAAAGATTGTTTTGAGAGAAAAACTACTGCTGTAATACATGCCTAATTAAAAGCTAAAATACAAGGAAAATATGCTAAGCAAACAATAGATTCTCAATAAATGTCTGTTTTACAGATAATAGTTCATTCAATGGACTAGAACTTTTAAAAACTAATAATTTTTATGCTCCAAAGGTTTTGGGTTAGCAAGAAATTTATTGATGCAAACAAACACATGATAAAAGATTAACATTATCTCTTAAAAGTTAGTGTTGTAATTCCAGGGAAATAAAGGTGTGTCTAAAAGTTCGCTAATTCATACTCTTAATATTTTTTCCTCATACCAAGCAAGATTACTTGTAATAAAATGCTATAAGTTTGAGAATGAAGTAAGTCAATACTTACCCTAACTACACTGAAATCCAGTTTAGTCTCCTGTGCACATTGTAATATGAGCTGAAAGCAATTTTTACTTTGATTTGTCATTCCATTTTCATAATAGCGCTGTAAAATCCTTTGTTGTTCTACAGTAAATACAGAACGTAGATTCATCTAAAAATAAAACAAGATGCCTTGAAAATTGGAATAAATATTGGGGATGTATAGAATTGATATGCTTTTTATCCACAGAAAACAATTTCAGGGCTCCCAAGTTGCAAGATTTTTTTAAAAATTTAGTTAATCTCTAGTAACAGGATACTATTTGAGGGTTATGGGTTCTCACTAAAAAATTCACATGGTATGAACAGCTATTGAATTGTCCAGAAAAAAAATGCACCAAGTTAAAGACAAAAGAAGAAAGAAAAGAAGAAAAAAAACCCTTTGCTTATCTGATTCATGTAAATGTGTGGAAGAAAAAGATTTCTTTTTCTCCACTAAATCAAATATTTACTCCTAGGAAAATTGAGGATTGTAGTAGCCATAAATGATCAATTATCAACAGGCATACTTACTTTTCTTTGTCAAGCAAGACATCTGGCAAATATCTTATAGCAAGAACCTTCTTTCTGGAACAAAAGAGTGTTTTTATTTCCACTCTTTATGAGTCATAGAGTTCCTTTTTAATTAATAGAATAAAATATATTATTTAAAGCTTTGAAATAAACAAGATTATGTGACTGTGAAAGTATCTTTGGTTGAAGCAATATATTAAGTAAAATAATTTTAAAACTATAGCATATAATGTAGCCAATATGACTCCTGTGTAGTCCATTAGGTGAGATCAATGTGTATAGTAGTCATGTATGGTTTTTGAAAAGGTATTTGCAAACTACAAAGGACATAGAGAGGGAGTTGCTAGCATCTCTCGGAAGAAAAACTTCATCTGTTGGGGAAACTACACACAGGTCTTGCCACTGACTATCAAGGACAATTGTAGAAATTAGGACAGGATGAGAGACAACTCACAGCATGTGCATGACTAGAGAGGGAACTCCAAATACCTCCCTAAGAAGAAACTGCATCAGCTGGGAAAGCTGGTCACAGTCCATGCCTTCAACCACCAATAACTATAATAGACTTAAGAGAGGCAAGCCTCACTCAAGTGAGATTCCTGCAGGACTGCACTGCAGACCAGAGAGGACTTGTAGAAGTTTAGGAAAGGAAAACTTCCCCACTATAGGACCAGAAACGACCACAGGTGAGCTGCCTTGTGCAATAAAGGAAACACTTTAGGCTTGAATCTAATAGCTTTATAAAGATGAAGAACTATCAAAAGTCTACTCAGACATAACATAAATGGCCTAATATATTGAAGAAAAATTTCACATTATGTCAAGAAAGCAGCAGGTAGCCTCAAACATTGTAAAAGAAATAAAACAAGCCTTCTTAAAAAAAAAAAAAGAATATATATGCAAACACAATGAGTACTCCAGAGACAAAGACGCAGCTACTAAAGAAGATACAAATAGTGGAAGAAGTAGTTGAAGTCATAATAAAAAAATATCAATAAAGAAAATACTCTAGAGATAGGGGTCCAGAAGAAATATAGTGGTGTGGAGCTATAAGAACAGCTATAGAAGAAGGTGTAAATAATGGAAGAAAAGATAGAAGTGATAAATAAAGCAAATACTCCAGAGATAGGAAGCTAAAAGAAATATATTGATGTGGAAGGACATGAACAACTGTGGAAGCAATTGAAAAAGATGAAAGAAAGAACTGAAACTATAGACAAATAAGAACAAGAACTTAGAAAATCATCACATGACAGAGATAGTACAGTCAACACCATACTGGAAATAGCAGAAACACATGAAAAATCATTCCAAAATATCAAGAACAAAATGGTAGAAGGTTTCCAACATGCAGGGGGGACAAAAAAGCAGGATAGAAGAGATGGAACAGACAGTCAGTAACTTGTAAGACAAGAACCTCAATAGGAACATATTAGGAGGAGAAAAAAAGAAAAGAAAGAGGACAGAAGGAAAATGGAGAAAATATTGGAATCATGTGGGATAACATCGAAAGGAACAGCATACATATGAACAGAATACCAGAACATAACAAAGGCAGTGAAAGCATTAAGAAAATTGTAGAGGAAGCAATAGAAGAAAACATCCAAGGTATCATGAAAATTGAGAAAAGCCACATTCCAGGAGAACAGTGACCCCTAATTAGACCAGACTTTAGACACCAAAAGAAAAAGTTTAAGACATATCATACTCTAGCCATCAGATAGATGCAGATCAAAACAAATAAGACATATCATATAACCCCAGCAACAATAGCCAGGTTCAATAGGGAAGCAAACAACAAAGGCTGCCAAAGTTGTGAAGAGATTGGAACTCTTATTCACTGCTGGTGGAAATGTAAAATGGTATAACTACTACTGAAAGTAGTCTGGCACTTTGAAGGTAGTCTGGCACTTTGTCAACAAGTTGGAACTAGGAATACCATTTGACCCAGCAATTTGACTACTGGAAATATACACTAAAGAAAAAAGAGCTGCAAACAGACATATACACATGCATGTTTATTGCTGATTTATTCACACTAGCAAACACACGTAAGTAACCTAAATGCCCATCAACAAATGAATTGATAGAGAAACCATGACACATCCACACAATGGACTATTACCCCACATTGAAAAACAAAGAACTAATAAGACATTACACAGATGGGTGAGACTGGAGGACATTATGCTTAGTGAAATATCTCAGTTAAGAAAGGGCAAATACCACGTTAACACCAGTGTTATAAAATAATACAGAAGTGGGAGATGGAGGTTGAGGAGAGAATGGGGAAAAATGTACAATAATGAATACATATAATAAATAAATATATAATTGAATAAAAAACTATGGTACAATCACACAATGGAATATTACACAGCATTGATAAAAAATGAATTCATAAAACATTACACAGCATGGGGATAGCCTGGAAGTCAATATAATCAGTGAAATATCTCAGTCACAAAAGGACAAGTACTGCACAACAACACTCTTATAAAATAAGACTGGCATGGAGAATTGGGAGGAGAAAAGGAAAAGAGTCGATAGATAATGAACATTCTGTTGGAATACATGAGGGAAATAACTATCTGAAAGGAATATATATTTAGGCATTACATGTACAGCAAACAATCTGGAACAAAAGATATGTTGCAAAGTGGACTGGGAGAGGGAGAAAGGAGAAGGAAGGTGAAAAATGTGCAATAACTTTCTTTAAAGATGAGAGAGAGAGAGAGAGAGAGAGAGAGAGAGAGAGAGAGAGAGAGAATAGAATGATAAGGGGGGTAAAGACATATCCTAGTTAAATTCTCCAAAACCAAAGATAAAGATAGAATACTAAAAGCAGTGTGAGAAAAAGAAAAAGGGATCTAAAAAAGAGAACAAATTAGATTAGTTCTGATTTCTCAGCAGAAATCACAAGAACAAGAAGACAATGAGATGGCATATACAGAACGTTGAAAGGAAAAAAAAAACAAACCCTGCCAGTTGAGGATCTTGTACCCAAAAAGACTGTCCATCAAATATGAAGGAGAAATTGGATTATTTGCAGGAAAGCAGGAAGTTAAGGAATTTGTTAAAGGAAATTATAAGGACAAGAAATTAACTTCAGTGAGATAAAAAAAGAGAAAAACAATTGAAAACAAGACTAATTCGACAAGAAATTCTAAGGGAAGTCCTTCACACAGAGACACCAAAGTAGATGGAACATAGTAACCAGAAACACAGCAAAACAGCAGTGATAAAACCTGGCTTGTCAATAATCACACTTAATATGAATGGACTAAATGCATCAATTAAGAGGAAAAAGGTAGCAGAATGGATAAAAAACCAAAGCCAATTAATTTGGTGCTTACAAAAGACACAGCTAAGAAATGAGAAAAAAAAGATAGTCTAAAAATCAAAGGCTGAGAAGAAAAAAAAAAAACCAAGCAAATGGCACCCACAGAAAAACAAAAGTGACAATATTAATCTCTGATAAAATGGACTTCAGGATGAAAACCAGCAAAAAAGATAAGGGACAGCACCACAAAGTGATTAAAGGCACTTAAGATCAAGTACATATAACCATGGGCAACATCTACACACCAAATGACAGATCTGAAAAAAAAAAAAAAAACCCATAAAACAACGATTAAGAAAATTGAAGAATGACATAAACAGCACCACAATAGCGGCAGGAGACTTTAACACACCACTCTCACCAACAGATAGGCCAACCAAAAAAAAAAAATTAACAAAGATGCAGAAGATCTAAACTACACAATTAACCAACTTGCCCTGATGAATATAGTCAGGGTACTGTACCCAACTAAATTTACTTTCTTCTCAAGTGTACATGGTACATACTCCAGAAATGATAACATATTAGAACACAAGCATGCTTCAACAAATTTAAAAGCATTGAACTAAATAAAAGTTTATTTTTAAACCATAACACTATAAAACTAGAAATTAATGACAAGAAGATAAAGCTTAGAAAACTACCCACATGGATGCTAAGAACACCCTTATAAAACATGACTGGGTAATAGAAGAAATTAAAAAAATAAAATTAAACATTCCTAAAATGAAAATCAAAATGCAACATATCAAAACCTTTGGGGTACAGCTAAGATGGTCCTCAGGGGCAGTTCATAGCGATTGGCAAACACATTAAACAAGAAGAAAGAAACAAAATTGATGATTTAACATAATAATACCATCAAATGGAAAAAGAGCAAAAATATAAGCCCATAGCCTCTAGAAAAAAGGAAAATATAAGGACAAGAAATTAACTTCAGTGAGATAAAAAAAGAGAAAAACAATTGAAACTATTAACAAGACCACTCTGGTTTTCATCCAGAAGTCTATTTTATTCCTCCAATTCTTGTGCCACATTTCTCCTCATAGAGCCCAGTCTCCCAGATAATCTGTTCTGCATATAGTTTGAAAAGGTATGGAGAAAGGACACATCCCTGGCATACACCCTTCCCAATTTTGAACCATGCAGTGTTCCCTTGCTCTGTTCTGACGACTACCTCCTGGTTTTACGTAAGCAAGATCAAATGTTCTGAGATTCTCTTTCTGCTCAGTTATCCACAGTTTGTTGGGGGCCCC